CCACTGTGAGACTATCCCAAGTGGCCCTGGGTGGAGTGTGATCTGTCAATATTTGCAGGTCATCCGTAGTGGGAGCAACCATGTCTCTTGTAAGCCAGAGATAGCGGGGCTCGTCAGGGTGGTATCTGGTCTCACTGGCGTAAGTCCTAGATAATTAAAATAAACAGGTGGATTACGGGATCGCTTGGCGTACTGGTGCAAGTCCTGATAATCCATGTCTGTCTACTAGCGAGGCGTGTGTTTGCGCGTGCACTTTGTAAAGATTGCTTGCATAAGTATGGAAAGTGCACGTGTACTTCGTCAGTGAACTTCTATTTGTCTACAGTTTATCTTGTGAGAGTTTTGTGCAATCATATACCAGGATGATTGAATATTATTTAACTCAGATTTCGTATAAACAGGTTCATTTACGTGAAATGCATGTCATTCCTACTTGTAAGATCAAACTTGTTATAAGTTACCACAAGAAGACATGCGTAAATTGGCATTGTTTCAGTAGCTGAGTTACTACGCAAGCAATCGCAACAGGCTCATATGAGTGTTAAATTATGCAGCTGTAACAAAGTTTGTCTTCAAGGTTGAGCTGCATTCTTACTTCGCTCCCTTTCCCTCCGGTAGTTTTAGTCATCTGACGAGCAATCATTACTTAGGTAAGTGGTGATTCATCGAGTTGTCAGAAGCTGTATTAGGGAGAACTTTGCGTTCTACGAAAATGTGAATCGGAATATACCACAGGTAAAGATAATATAATATTTAAAAATGCAATTACAGAGTATAAACAGGAGGGAGCTACTACTTTTCTTCAAGTATAACGTTCGTAAGCAATCTGCAATGCCAACCGGAATGGTCTGGTTATCGAAACTGTGCTTTTCTCAATAGAAATATAGCTTTCTTCTTCCAACAAATTGTTGGTTTTTTAAATTTTTCACTACCAGATATTAAGAAAGCATGGAGTCCAAATGAACATAGCAAGTTTCAGCTTCATTAATAGCTTAGACAGTTAGGAAATAACAGAGCATAATAGTACTCAGATAAAGACTACTGAAAAATATATAAACGATAGATTATTCCAAAGGAGCTTCAAGGATACCAAAGGGTAAAACATGTAGGACATACTGGGAGAATCACTATTATCCAAGGGTGTTTTATTTTTATAGTCACCCATCACAGGTAGCTCACATAAAACTATGTGGAAAGAACATTGTGTAAGAAGTTCTGCTGCTAGATGTGTTTTTGCGACATTTGATACACCTGCACGACTACGTCTTTGACACTGCGTTAGGTCATGAGTAAGTTTAACATTACTATGAGGCGTAGATTAAATAACCAGCCCGTTAGACGACTGGAATTTTTTAGCATCACTAGGACTGCTGAATTTAAGTGGTGCAGGACAGGTATGCTTTCCTGATTTTTCCTGAGCTTGATTAAGTGGTAGTTCACTGCAGACATGCCACATGTCTGGAGATATGTCACTTTATTTTTGTCCAGCGACGTCCGATCAGGCAGACTGTAGGCGAGAACACTGTAGGAAGACATGATACATTTAGTAACTTCATTTGCGATAAATCCAAAAGTACGCTAAGATTCCGGCAGACTATCTGAATGGGTATCGTGAGTTGGGCCACAAAGAAGCAGTAACGGCTTAATGGTATTTATTTTCTCATTGAAGTCCTCCGCAGAATTTCCTACAGGGATAAGTTTTAACTTCTTTGGTTAGCAGTTGCATAAATCTCTGTACCGGTGTTGCACACAGATCGGCATAGTTTCAAGTAGAAGCTGAGTAAAAACGAAACCAGGTATAAGCGCAAACAGTATATCGAGTGGATGTACAGACTAAAAGATACTACAGGCATGGTTTGGAATTCTATTGTTTACAAGTAAACAACAAACGGACAAGAGTAATAGCTGTGAAGGATATACCACAAGGAAACTAATTATCCATCGAATGGGTTCTGATATTATAAACTTCAGGATAATAGACTCCTCTACAATTATCTTCCGTGCTGAGTTGATTTTTAGTTGCAGGAGGAGGATAAGACCTGCCAGGGAGTGAGCGCAGACTTTGTATCTGGAAATGGTATATCTGGATATTTAGAAGATGCAGTAACAGCCAACATTAGTTATAGTTTTGAAGTAGTGTATCATTCAGTGTAGTATCCCAGAAGTTCGCAAGAAGAAATCCACCCTATTGTGACGTCCGTTCGACATAGCGATGCGGATACTGTTATTCCATCAATTAATTGGGAAAGAAACTAACTCTCTTTTGTGGAAGTGTTAAGTCTACTATTACATCTTTGAACACTGAGGTTGCACTTAATATACCATTTCGCATTTTATCTTAACTAGACGGTTTGTGCTTTGTTTGACCCTTGGACATTTCTAGTTCGAGTCGATATTTTGTTAATTGAGAACTAATTTTGACTCGACTATTGTGCTCTTCGTCTTTGAACGCCAAATGACCCCACATATGAAGGTTTGTACTGTGTTTACCTGTCACATTTTGTCCAACAGAGCAACAATCTTGCAGTTCTCCAGCATTCTGTCGTCACCATAATTCTATTTGGAGCCATTTGATTATTTTGGATTTGGTCGCGTTTCTTGGGGATAATTTGGTTTTGCTTCAGTTCAACCTCGATCTTCTTTATCTCCATCTGCCAATCGACTTGTTTTGTACCCACTTTACAATCAGACTGTTTAGTCATTCTTCTCGATGACATTACAGAACGTAATTATTTGGCGACCTGCAGTAACAATCAAAACAGATCTAAAACTGCTCCATCCAAGCACACAACAGTTTGTCATGTGATGCATTCTTAACGGGATATTACTACATCATGAAGGATTATGATCTACCATATTGGCCAAGTTCTACTTTTATACGAGTGAGTTACTACCTTCATGCCGTCAGTGAAGTCTTATTACTGTACAGCACCAATTAATCTAGAAGACAAACTGACTCATTCGGAAGCTTTCACTTTCCGCAGGTTTCATCTTTCAGTTCACATGGAATTTTTATATTATTCTAATTTCTAACTGTATAAAAACTGGGAAATATCTGCTGCTGTTTACTGCCGAAGCAGTGACAATTCTTCAAATTTTTAACCGCACATAGACTGCTGTGGTAAGCAGCTTGCGGTCAATAATAATAGGCATTATTATCGGCCGACTAACTGACGTCTTACACAAGCGATCGCACAATATCACAAATCACCTATCAAGCGGACGATATGCTGCACAACTTTTCAATATTGAGCGACTTTACTTGCACTTTAAATAGACTGACACTAGGGACTAGACCACGCAAACTCTCTCGGTATGTTTTCATCAACACTGTCTTGCATATATACATAAATAAACTCATCTTCATCTGCAAACCCCTGATTCCCATCTGACCACTCGCATCCTCTCACATAAGTAGATGCTTTCACCCGCTAGCCTGAACCAAGCCCTATGCATGATGTCAAAACCGAGACAGTTTGTCAAGTTATTATGAAACGATAAGTAACGTAGTTAGGGTGTCCTACGATTGTGACAACAAACCAGGGACAAAAACATGAACCAAGGAGCTTCCTGATCACTCAGAATGCAAAAGTGCCCAAACTGCTACATATAGCCCGCTACATAATTGCCGCTAAAACTTTTTGGCCGTCAAATTAAGGCCTAATTAAGGACTACGTGAAGAATGACTTTCACTATTACTTCGAAGTATTCACCCCGTCCTCGACGTCAATATGCAATACACTCAAGAAGACCAGATTTATGGATCAACACCCCGCAAATCTCAAAAAATAATTACTTTGGAGGGTAGCTGCCCAAATATTTCCGAAGTATATATACCCCTGCGCATACTGGAAAAAACAGTTAAAAGTTGGGCCTTACTCACATTTTGAGCCTTGTAATGCTATTCGTAGACCTTCATTAGCACCTTGGGCAAGTCAAGATTGTTAACAGGAAAACAATCCCACCATCAACAATTTAGAACTGTTAGACACCACAGATATCCACCACACGAATTCGGTGCTTACGAATGCTGACTCATTTTCCTGCCTGTCTACACTACCTGTAAAATTTTTCGCAAGCTGACTCAGAAAGGACTTCGGTGCAACGAAAGACCTTGAATCCCCAGTATCTGTAATGGAATGCTCGACACGCACAATCACAGATAGGTTCATGACCTAAACAGCATGCAGATTTTTTCATTTAGAATTATTGAAACTTTTACACTAAACTGACACGTTCGATGTCACAAATGTCATTTTTGGATGTACAGTAATGTATAAAGACTTTGAGAAAAACTCGAGAGATATTTCATCCTCTGCTACTTCTCTCTTTCATATCTACTTCCTTTTCGAGAAGTTTCGCGAGTTCGCGTTTTTCAACCACATTGAATTTCATATCTCCCAATGAAGAAGATGGGAAACAAGTGGGAAAGTAGATGCAGCAGCTCCCCTGCGACACTATTGGACTCTTCCGGATACGAATAAGTCTTCTGTAGAAGTTTAAAAGCCTTAAATTATCAGAAATTCCGCTGTCTCGCTGGAATTTCATGTAACATGAAGTCATTCTGAAATGGTCAATTTTGAAGCCTTTACTTTGGTCTCCGAAGAAATATTCAGCTTATCATACTTCACAGTCGGATCATGCGAAACTGAAAATTACAGAGAAAAATAATGATAATCAGCTAAAGGGAAGGGATTTCTTTACCAGAGAAAGTCGTCTGGGAAACCCAATTCACCGGAAAAATCTTTGATTTTGAGGTTTGTGTTAGATACTTCAATTTTAGCATCTCGCGATGAAGATAGATGTTAAGTCCCCGATTTGTGAAGCGGAAATATTGATTATACATATTCAGCTATCTTACTGAATGTAGATAAAACGACAATTAATTCATCAATTTCCTTTCCTATGTCACTGGTGGTATATTTTTGCGTTTTAACTAACCATATTACATCAATGGTGTTTCGTTTCCGTTTACCGCGAGCTGTAATTTTCTGTCAAATATGACTCGAAGCGGTGATACTTCACATTCAGGAGATTATGAAAACTCAGTCATTACCAAAAAGGTATTTTTGAGCTCACTACTTACGTAGTATTTTTGAAATGAGAATTTCCACAAATGTGCCTGTTCCCAAACTGGTTGCTATATAATCTAACTGCTATTAGGCATGTATCTAGATACCACTTTTACACAAAATTATGGCCTGTTTTTCATATTTTACTGGAAAATTAATATCAGTATGCCCCATTCTGTTCAAAAATTCATTTGAGCTGGAATGTAAAAATCGCCAAACATGTGGTATTTTAGGTTGTTACTAAATAACAGTCATTTACTGATCTCAAATAACTAATACAAGCGGAAGAATTCAAACTGTCATGAAATCATCGGATAATTGTAAATATGAGGGCACATACTGTTTAAACAGATCATTCTGCCTCGCTTTAAACCCTTGACGTGACTTCATCCCAAACCTTACCTTAATTCAACCACTGACCGTAACCAAACCCTAACCCGATCACATTGTGAAATCAAATCGTCAGCAGGCTGTAGCGGCTTGAGATACACACCACCTGTGACTCTCAGCACTACTTCCTTCAAGATAGTTTTCTTTTTTGTGATAACTACTAATATGTAAATTCATACTTGGTAACCTGAAAGTTTGAGGAGCTGTAATGTCGTACATAGAAACTAAGTGAAAATTTTATCTCAATAATCTTTTCTATCAATATGTTCTTTATTCTGAAAAAGGCATCCATCTCTTTTGACTTGGCGAGATTCCATTTGAATTGTAGGGAAGTAAGTCGGTGGTACAGGAGATTTTAACGAAAAGTAGTTACCATATTTGTGTCGTAAACATACTGTTTTCGTAAGTGTTTTTGACCAATATTCATGCTTTCAAATTCTATCAATGCAATCTTCTAAAAATGGGTAAACATACAGTAAAATCAGTTTTAAGGCTTAATGACAGATAGTGTTTTTTGTACCCTTTATCTTCAGAAACTTCCGCACAAGTGTATTTCAAATTCAGAGCATAATGCATCATGTCTCAGTTAGTTTTTCTGGATTTTTAGGTGACTTTTATGCATCATTTAATGGTCCGATTTATTGTGAATGAAGGTTTTACTGTTTACACGTCCAGATGACTGCATTTTCATGGGCTCAAGTTCTTCGTGACAGCATTATAAAAAGTAAAGAGGTTTTGTCACATGCAGATCGCCCTGAAATTTGATTGCTAAGGCAGAATGGATTGAATAAGTTGTGAGTAGAATATATATTCATACACTCTTGACTTCAGAGAGTTAATCATTTACTTAAATGCAGTGTTTTCATTACATTTACGTGGTCGCTAAAATCAATTGCGTCAGACTACTCGATAAGTACCTTAAAAACTCCAACTGTTTTATTATTGTGGTGAATGTTCCTTAAAGATTCTTGAAAGAACTGTTATGTTTTATATTTGCTTTGATAGAATTCTGATGTTATACTGAATGTCTAAACACTGACGCAAGACTTGCTTACTTTTCTTTTACTGTAGTCGGACATAGGCCAACACTTCTTACGAGCGGCACGTGCTGGCAATATCCAGAAAGTTTTGTTACTTATTACTGAACACAATGCAGATGTACACGCATGTAATGCAGTAAGTCCAAACGATTTACAGTACTTATATCTATTACAGCCAACTCTTTCTTTCTAAAATGTGTTTTATATTTGGAATTTTTAAGTTTCATTAGTATAATCCCAATCCAAAACCATGTGCTTCGCTATTCTGGTCGTTTAGAAATTAAATACTATGTCACCATTTATACTCACAGTATACAAGCACGTCTTAGTCGCCTGTTAATACTGAAGGACAGTTCATTTAGTAGGTTTAGCTTGTCAAACTTGACATGGCTTTGGAAATATACTATTCTTTTCATGCAGTATTCTTGAATTATTATTATTATTGTATCCTTTAATTCCTACAGGAACATAGGGCTTCAGCCGTGCGTCTCCATTGCGTTCTGTTCTCTGCTACAGTCTTCACCTGGCTCCAAGTCTGCCCACACGTTCTCATCTCCTCTTCACATGACCTCCTCCAAGTCACCCTCGGACGACCAACTCGCCGCTTCCCTTTCGGGTTCCACTCAAGGGCTTGTCTAGTGATGTCACTTGATGGTTTCCTCAGAGTATGGCTAATCCACCTCCATTTCTTACTGCATATTTGTTTCAGAATCGGTTCCTGGTTGGTTCGCTCCCATAGGTCTCTGTTGCTAATCTTTTCTGGCCATCTGATCTTGAGTATTGAGCGAAGACATCTTTTGATGAAGGTCTTCAGTTTGTCTGAGGTGCTCTTCATGACGCGCTAAGTCTCTGATCCATAAAGTAGCAATGATTTCACATTGGAGTTGGAAATCCGAACCTTATTTTTCATTCTGAGTGCTGTTGACCTCTACACAGACTTGAGAGTAGTGAAAGCTTGTCTTGCTTTCCCAATCCTCGCCTTGATATCCTCATCAGTTCCGTCCGCCTGTAGTTGAAACGATGCTTCTCAGGTAGGTAAAGGAGGTTGCTTCTTTCAGATTTCTCCCATTTGTGCTGATTGTTGTCTGTTGTTATTGTTGCTGCTGTTGGCCTGGAGTCTTCATCACCGCCACTGTTTTCTCTATGTTCACCTGAATTCATATCTTTCTTTGATGCTTCTTCTGCTAAACTGTTGCTTTTCGCTTGCATACCTTAAAGTTTGTGGGAAATCAGACATATATCATCGGCGAAGTCCAGATCCTCCAAGTTTTTTGTGTGAGTTCATTTTATGCCTGTTTCCTCATTGTCTGCTGTTTGTCACATTATCCAGTCTACTGCAATCAGGAAAATCATTGGTGATAGTAGGCAGCCAGCCTTGTCTTACTCCTGTCCTTACTTCGAAGGGTTCCATAAGTTTCCCGTTGTGGATTACTTGGCATGCAGCATTGTCGTACAGCTGTTGGATGAGATGTATAATTGTCGGTGGCACACCGTAGTAGCGAAGTAGTTTCCAAATCACCTCTCGATCGACGCTGTCAAAGGCCTTTTCAAAGTCGATGAAGTTGAGGTAGAGAGGTGACTGCCATTCCAGGCTTTGTTCAATGATGATCCGTAATGTGGCGATCTGATCAATGCATGACTTGTTTCTCCTGAATCCAGCCTGTTCCGGTCGAAGTTTTTCACCCAGGGTGTGTTTGATTCTCTCCAGGATAATACGGTTTAATATTTTGCTTGGGATAGACAGAAGCATAATTCCGCGCCAGTTCTTGCATTGACTTAGGTCTCCTTTCTTTGGAAGTTTGAATAAGTATCCTTTCTTCCAATCCGCAGGTACCTTGTCCTCTTTCCACACCTTCTCCAGTAGTGGTGTCATCAAGTTCACTGATGTCTCGGGGTCCATTTTCAATGCTTCTGCTGGGATTCCATCTGGTCCTGCTTCTTTTCCAGTTTTTAGCATCTTGATTGCCTTCAGGATTTCTGTTCTCGCCGGGGGGTCGGTGTTCACTGGTAGCTCTGTCTCCGTTGTTGGTATCGTTGGGTGCGTTGTAGGTGGTGGTCGATTTCGGAGTCTTTTGAAGTGTTCAGCCCAGTGTTTCCTTTGCTCCACTTCTTTGGTGAGTGTCTTTCCGTTGTCATCTTTCACTGGCTTGATTTGTGTCAAACGTTTGCCCGATAGGTACCTAGTTGTTTGGTAGAGTGTTGCGAGGTCTTCTTTGCCTGCAGCTTGTTCTGCTTCACTTGCCATAGCTTCCTTATATTGTCTTTTGTCTTCCCTGGCAGTCTTCTTCACTCTTTTGTTCAGTGTCTTGTAGCTCGCATTCAAATCTTGTTTTTGTTGCTCGTCGGTGCACTGGAGAATCTTTTGTTTCACCATCCCTCTCTCTTCTATCAGTCTCCAAGTGTCCGTAGTGAGCCACTGTTTGTCCTGTCTCTTCCTTCTGCCTAGAACTTCCATGCAGGTTTGGCTCCACACTGTGTTCAAGTTGTTCCAGTGTTTTTCGACGCTGACCTCTTCGCCAGTGTTGATTTGTGTCTCGGCTTTGTCTTTTATACTTGCAGTGAAGATGTCCTTTGTGTCCTGGTCCTTCAGTTTTTGAGTGTTGAACTTGGCTTGTGGTCTATCTGCAGCCCCTGATTCTCTGAAAGCTTTTAATTTGATTTGGATTGTCCCTCGTACGAGGTAGTGGTCTGAGCCAACGTCTGCTCCTCTTCTCACTTCTGTGTCCAGTAGGGTGCGCCTCCATTTCCTTGAGACTGAGATGAAGTCAATTAAGTTTTTGGTTCGCCCGTCTGGTGACACCCACGCTGCCACTAATCTCTAGTTCATCGAAGTCGCAGAAGTCGGCGAAGAGTTCTCCGTTTTCATTCATTTCTCCGAGAGCTTCTCTACCCATGATGAGTTCCCTTCCTGTTTTGTCTGATCCCAGTTTGGCTTTCATGTCTCCCATTAGTATTTTGATGTCACCAGCTGGAGTATTGTCCATTGTTGCCTGTAGTTGTCTGTAGAATTCTTCTTTCGTTTCGAGGTCTGCGTTGTTTGTCGGTGCATAGCATTGTATAATTGACACTTTCCTTCCTTTGGAGTTGAATCTGGCGGTTATTATCCTGGGCGAGATCGCCTCCCATTGCATCAGGGCCTTCGTTGCCGTTGGTGACATCATGATAGCCACTCCCTCGGTGTGCGGGTGGTTATCTTCTGGGTGACCGGAGTAGATCACTGACTCACCCGTTGACAATTTGTTGAGTCCATTCCCGTTCCATCTGCTTTCACATATTCCCAGTACTTGAATTCTGTATCTTTTCATTTCGTTTGCGATCTGGGCAGCTTTGCCAATCTCGTACATGGTACGGACATTCCATGTCCCCACAAAGACTTTTTCTTTTGTCTCAAGGAGATACATCGTGCTGAAGTTTCTGTAGCAGGTTTGTTTACAGGGTGGGGTTGCTAGCCTCACGCCTGAGAAGGGGGGTTGTTACATCAATTTATAATTTAGAGAGAAGCGACCTTGTGGGTTGCTCCCCTTAAAAACCAGGAAAACAGGGAATAAACAAGCAGAAAAACACCAGCACGGGAAAATAATTCACAACAAGAAGGGTAACAAGCAACAACAACGATAATAATACCACAGTCAATTTCAGTTAACCAAAATGATACCGAAATCATAGACTCACTGACTTGAGCCAACTTGAACATGTAAATCCAACAATATATATATATATATATAGGTATTAGTTAGTGTTAATCAAGCACAGAGTGGTAAATAGATAGTTATAGGTGTTATTGATATACAATATTATATCCAAAGATTCAGTGTTTCAAAGTCAAATAATTGTAAAAGTTTTCCGCAACTTTTTGATTAGATATTCTTGAAGCTTGTTGGAAAAATATAGTACCCACTAGTCCATCGCTAAACTACTAACGATAAACATTTACTCATGCATTTTTGACAGTATGGAACTTTTGAATTTTAACTCTTATTTTTTAACCTGTAATTATGGCAATCGGATTCTTGAGCTTTTATGATTTCGGTTGATGTGATAAGGAGATTTTATATCCTAGCATTTTTATTCATTTTGGCATTATAAAAATGCATAGAAAGTATGATTTCTCACAGGAATAAATGTCTGTCTAATTCGCAACACATCTTGCATCATTATAGTATGCAGCGTATTGGCACTTGAAATGAATGCTTCTAACGCTTTGTTTGATGACTGTTCGGAGTAATTTAGAAATTCAATGGTTTCTTTCAGATTACATGAGTTTATCCAATATTAAATTATTTCAGATAAACCTATCCAATACTTTATTGTAGTGACTAAACTCTACTCTTATAATGCTTTATTGTTTGCACCTGTGGACTTCGAAGATGTGGGAAGACGCAGATTTGTTATTCATTTCTAATGGGTATAGAGAAGGGTTATTTTCAGTCAGCCTCAGAATTCTCTACCGTTTGAAGATATAAGGTGAGACACTAAGAATAGTGTACTATGACTTCACTAGATATATTGGTCGATTGACTTCGAGTATTTAAATGACCACAATTCCTCAGTTAGAAAATTGTATGATAATGTCGCATAGAATCACGACGGAGAGACAGAAAAGTGTTTCCAACCAGTGGTTTTCGACCACTTGGTGAATCAATTAATATCCAGCAACCCAACAAACTGATGAAATGTCTACATTGGATTTCCACAAACTTTCACGGGCTTAATCACAAATAGTTTGTTAAATAATTAATTGAAAATGTCCATATACCCACCGTTTCTGCCGACAGATTTCTATTGAGCAATTTAATCAGGATTATTGGAAAAATAGAAAAGCAGAGAAGAACAATATGATAAGTTAGTAGCGCTTTGTTTTTTACGAATCTCTTTAAAGCTGATTTTCTCTACACATGCTTGTTCTTGTTCTCGTTTATATATTGATGCATCTTCTTTTATCACTTTGTGTCATACGATGTATTTTTTTATAAAACTGACATTTGTGCATGTGTAGTTTGCGCGTGTGGTCCTTTAATCTCTCTCCTATTTTTTCTGAAAATAAAAAACAAAGATCAGGATTTGTTAAAGGAAAGGTAGTTTAACTCTTTGAGATTTATCTAGGACACCTTTTGTATATACTAATATTGTGAGGAGAGAAATCTCAATTAAGTTGTGGATTTCTTGTTTACACCATTAGATACCACTTTTACAGTGAGAGGGTTGTATATGTCTTCTAAAGTAAGTAGGCATTTCAACTAAATCCATCAATTATTATAAGAAGAAGGCTGTAGATATTAGAGAGCAAAAATAAATGAATGCCTACTTTTCTAAGGTACATGTCATACTCATTAGGTGTACATTGGCATTACCACTTAACTCGCATTAAATCTCCGGAATGTGTTGTACAGATGCACTACACAATTCAGATAAATTACGCATTGTTATTGCTCTTTTTCTGAATTTATCAAGGGTACTAATTGCTTTAAAAGGAGTTTTTGTTTTCTGAAAACTAAGATGGTGATTACTTTCTTCTTTTCTTCAAAGTTATCTATCTATCTTGAAAATAGAATTAGGCGTCAACCGTCGCTTAGATCGTAATCACCTAGTAAGTGTGTCATCTTGAGTTGATCACAATAAGAGTAATAGGTAAACTTAAAACTCTGTATTGAAAAAATAGAAATCAAGGTAGAAGAAACAAATAGTTACCATGTACTACAATGAATTATTTCCATTTCATCAGCTACCCTTTTTATTTCTTAGAGCGCTACTTTCTTTTTTGAAAATAACCTTGTTTTTACAACCCTGTGTTTACATTTATAGAATGGTTTAAATGCACTACATTTAGCCTCAAAAGAAGGACATGCAGCAGTAGTACGTGAACTAATCGACCGAGGAGCAAAACCAAACACTGCTACTAAGAAAGGCAATACGGCTTTGCATATTGCAAGTCTAGCTGGTCAGTTTGAAATAGTCAAGCTACTATTGGAAGCCGGAGCTGATGTGAATGTACAAGCTCAGGTGAGTAATTATATATATGTATATATATATAATTAGGTTACTAGTTTTTCAAGAATTTTCGTTGGTCTGTCTGTATCTTTACTTTATTATTATTTTCTTGATGATATATTTTTGAAAATTAAACTGTTTCGGTGTAGATTTCATCACGAACGCATCGGCTACGACTTCTTGGTACAGCTTCAGGACATCCATCCAGTCGACATCCGTAAGTTTAAAACTTATATTTCGACACGGCCAGTAGGGTCAATCGTGTCAAGGTGAACTTGAACATTCATTGATGGTATTGTTTGAGGGTAGCGCTATATTATGAATAAATATAGGTAGAATTTACGGGTCAGTGAATTCCAGCGCAGTTGGCTAAATGGTCAACGAGCTTGGTTTCCTCACCTGAATTTCCTGGGTTTGATCTCTGTTAAAGTCACAGGTGAGCACTGCTGAACAGTCCCAGTCTACGGCGGAACAGCTTTCCCGTGCCCCCTGATCTTCAGTGATCTCTTTAACTGACTGAATTTGGTTTGTGACGAAGTCTAAATTGAAATTAATCTCAAATCCCTACAAAAACCCATAATCTAGGTAAACAATATTTGTTAATTTAATTACCATGAGCTTTTTTTCCTGCAAAACTTCCTAAAATATTTTAAAATAACAAACATTATTTATAAAATGTGTATGATTAGGAATGATAATTAAGGAAACGTACAAATGTATCTATTTAAAAAAGTTTTTCTATGAGTTTGTTTTGAATTTCTGATTCCAAGACAGTGATGACAATGGGATATTAGTTTTCATTATGAACAAACAATTAACGAATAGAATGTAATAAATTCCTGTTTCTTCTAAGTCTGAAACTTCTTAGCATTGCTTAATTAATTCGTCTTGTGTGGATAGTGAAAAAAGAACGACATGAAAAGAAATTTAATTTTTGATGATGAACATAAGGTATGAATACATGTACGCTACAGCGATAACCTAAGACCGTCTTCCTTAAAGTGTTCAGCCAAAGCTTTTCGTTTTCACGTGTACATCAACCAGGCAACCTACAGTTTCTACTTACCTCAGAGCAACACTTAGTGGTACTGAGTGGATTTTGTTCAGTTATTTGTACCTCTTCTAATCGGGGTCCCAGATAACCTCTTTAAACATTACACAGACCTCAATTAGTGAGTCTAAACTCCATCCTGCGAAACACTCAAATAAGTTTATACTTCCTTTTGATCATCCTGCATTTTCTTCATTTGCATTACTGCTGTAGCCATCAATAAAGGAAGGAAGGAATTTTGTCATTTCCAATAAATCTCTCATCCTCTTCATTGTACAAAAGCCTATAATGAATATACAATGAATCTGAAACACAATGTTAAAATAATGGTTTTGATTCTATATCATATATAAATATGTACAATATTTCATTCTTTTGCGTATCGAATGGAACATGGGGTTTCAAGCTCTAAACTTTGAAGTTTCAGTAGACGTGGTGTTTTCTTTTGCGGATAGGGCTGCTCAGCTCACGCCCAACCTTCTCTTCTTACCGGGCTTATCACCAACTAAGTTAGGTGTGCGTTGACCAGGATTCAAACCCAGACCATTAGTTTGGTTGGGTAGTATTCTATCATCCATGCAAACCATCACATTACTGGATAGTCTGATTCAATTACTTCACCCAGGGATTCTATAATCATACTGAAATTATGTCACATATCATTGCATCGATGTGCACATATTCTGATCAAATAATTTCTTTATTTCTGTTTTCAGTGCCTGTTCACTAGGAACCTCATTTTCTACACACACACTAAGTATAATTACTCAGTCTAAAAGCACTGTTTAGTGGATCCGGTATCTTTATCTGCTTTGCTATAACTAGTATATATCTAATTTACTTCTAACCGAGAATTTCTATCCGTTATTATGATTAGGAGTCTGTTTTTTATGATGTGCATATATCGATGCACATAAAACTCATTGATCTTCATGTACATATACAAACACACGTACATACGAATACACCTACAAATGTATGGGTATCTGGATCATAAATTACATTTCACAAATTGCACGTACACTTATACACACGCATATACACATAAAAACACTCACACAGTGACCACAAGTATATTAATCCTATTTCATAGAAATTTGACATGATCTTATGTGAATATTATCAGTCAGATAGACAAACAGTTAACTTTAATTACTGACATTTATAATCTCAGATTAATATGAATAACTATTGTAGTTAGTTAAAGAAATGTGAGTCTAAGATGAAATAAGCTCCCTGGTGAGTTGGAGAGAGAGACGATCTGAAAAAAGAATTTTCAAATAATGAATTGTGAAATACAACTTCGGTGCTAATAATAATAATAATAATAATAATAATAATAATAATAATATATTAATAGACTAAACGAAGCAAAAATTTGTAAACATTGTAACAGTTGTTTCAATTTTTATTTTTACTTTTTTACACTCTTTTTGTGTGTATTAGAAATTCATTTATTTTCAACAACTTTAAAACATCAACTAGAAAAAGTGGATATTAAAAACAGTTTATGCAATAGAAAATGAATTGTAGTCATTTTCCAAATATTTTTTCTCAGCAAATTTATGTGAGGGTTTAATTTTGTATCCGTGTTGTGCAGAAGAGTTGTAATTCATATACATGATTCTGGTACTATCGCGTTCATTGAACTGGATCACATTATTTCAAGGCTTCCGTCGTTTTTCTATTACTGAAAGTATAATCAAACCATCCAACTCAAAAGATACAAAAACTGTTGTGGCGTAACCTCGTTCTTTATAATCTGAACTTTAACATTTAACCAGTCAATAATTTGAATGGTGACATCCTCGCGTCGTGACCTGATAGTCCATAGCTCCATCCCTTGCACACTGCTTAGGGGTGAACTAGTCCCTTTTGGTATCAAATATTGATCCAGCTGATGTTAATTCATAGCAAAGTCCTTTTTCTAAATATGAATTGGTTTATTTATATCCACCGACTAAAGTGTTCATATTTTATACAAATTAAACGTGCTTTGCCAAGCGAAGTTTATTTAAGATTAACTTCTAATACCTTTAATCAAATTAGTAAACTGTTTTGAAATTCCTTGCTAATCGCAGCTGCTACCATTGTAATAAAATCAAACAGTGTTTATCTCAGGCTTGAATTGGGTTTCTTTTCTTAAAATAAGGCTAGCAATGTGTATCGGGTGAACACGAGATACAGTGAGGTGAACAAATGAACAAATGGATGAGTGACATCTCTTATGAAATCATTCAATTTTTCTGATATATATATATATATACATATATATATATATATGATGGAAATGTTTGTAGTCTTTTCTTTTTTAATATAGCGAAAATATTCATTCAGATATCTATAAAACACAAAATAATTGAGCAAAGAATGTCCTTTTCGATAAATTTCTCTTCTAGCTCTACAATTATATATATATGTTTATATACATAGAATATTCTAGATTAGTAGTCAATAACAATATTAGTGTTCATTTAAATAATATCGATTTGTAAAGTAAGACCAATGCAATTACAGTTCATTAAAGATGCTAAGATAACAATAATAATAATAATAATAATAATAATAATAATAATAATAATAATAATAATAATAATAATAAAGATATAGTAGTAAATAGAATGTCAACTAAAATTAGGAAAATTCCACAAAAATTCGGGACCGTTCGAACCTAGATGGCCAAGGTAAGGATAATGTCTGAACTAATTTCTTTTGGACGCACAAATTAGGCTTCTTAATATGGATCCCAACAGCAGCAGCAATATTTAGTAGTCGAACTCTTCAGGCGAATTGGTTACAGGATTTCATCATGAGCTGACATTGGTTAGAGAACCATTAGAAAACCTGGGAGTACTGGACAGCTGTTTCGTCCTAGTTTGGGGCTCTTCATCAGTACACACCCACCGGGTTCGAACCCAGGACCTTCTGCTTATAAGGCAAGCTCGTAGACCATTAAGGCGAAATTGAGATTTGTTAGTATGCTGTAAATGACCCTAAAAGCCTGGTTAACATCAATCTTGTGTTCCCTATCCACAAGATGAGAGAGAATAGCTCTGCGAATAGATTTTGTTTGTCCTTTACTTAACCACACAGGGTGATGTTCGGAAATTTGACGAGAAACACGCCTAATTGTAAGACCTATGTAACTGGCTCCACAGGAGCAGTCAAATTGGTAGATACACATGGAAGAGGCAAATTTAGGCAGTTTGTCTAACTCCAGAACGCAAAAGAAGGGTGGTTTTGAAGACTCAGCGTAATTCGGCAGCAGGGGAATGCTGTTTTTACCGCATTTCTAAGGCAGTCTGTTAGTATCTCGCTGTTGCTTTCCCCAAGGAACTGCATTTGTAAGAATAATGTCTTTCTAGGAACTATTGGTACCTTGGGCTGCTTTGAGTTTAGATTCATATTCTTATCAATAAACTTTTCTGGATAACCATTTTCACTCAGCAACCGTTTAATATTATTAAGTTCTTCATCAATACATTCGTTCGTGCAGATTGCTCTTGCTATGTGAACCAAGCACTTTATCCGATTGCGTTTGTATTTCAAGGGTATGAAGCTAAAAAATGAGTATACTGACTCGTTGATGTATTTCTTCTATATACACTTCTTCTTATTGTGCCATCCTCTTTTCTGGCCATAAGGACGTCTAGAAATGAAATACTAGAGTCATTTTCTTTCTCAATAGTTAAATTTATTCCAGGATGAACATCGTTAAATTTATTCAGGATTTTCTTTGCTTCCTTCTCATTTTTCTTAATCAAAAATGTATCATCCATGTATCGACAATAGAATTCAAGTTCATCCATAACATCCTTCAAAGGCCCATTTTCTAGTTTCGCAAGGAAAATGTCAGCGAGAATGGGTCCTAGTGGTGACCCCATTGCCACACCGCCGATTTGACTATACAGTACCTTATTAAATAAAAGTGTTCATTGTGCATTTCAAGAGTTCTTCTATA